ATTATTATTATTATTATTATTATTATTATTATTATAATTATTGTTATTGTTACTTAAAAATTTTACAGATGCACATATTATTTTCCTTCTTTTACACGAAAATTTTGCATATTACCGTATCAATAAATGAAGAAATATTTCAGATTTTATTATTAAACTTCATTTAATTAAGGAAAAGGTTATACCAGTAGTTCAGAAGTATAATTATGCATATTAAGTTGGTAGTAGCACTAAATACCAACGAAGAATTTAAATTACCGTGTATTTTTTTTCTTTTCTAACTCAATGGAATTATTGTTACTGCATAGAATGTTATTGCTGTTTAATTTTTTATAAAATCAGTGGTTGGCGAGAGTTATTTTATCTGTTGAAAATCTAACGATCTATAATTATTTTGCCTTTTAAGATAATTTAAGTGCTATGATATTAAAATCAATTATTATATCTGTTTACTTCGATTGTTGAACATGAAACATTGTTTACTATAATAAATAGAAACACGATGGTGACAGATAGTACATTTAGGCTAAATGAAAAAATTACAGATTGTCCTTTAAGTATTTTCATTTTATATAATAATTTTCATTATGCTCGAGCGTATTCTTTGCAATCATTGCAATGACCATTTTTTCAATAATTTAATTTATTTTTTAATTTTCGTCTTTAAACATAAGAATCATATCATCATACATAATTTACAATGTTCATTTAGAATTAGAATGTGCAATATAATGCGATTGTCAAATGGTAATTGTGAGTTAGATGAGGAATGATTGCGCGTCAAAGTTTCATGCTCATTTTAAAAAATTTATAATGCAAGAGAACGTCTGCCGTTATTATAAAATGGAAATAAACACGTATACAAAACAAAAAACAAAAAACAAAACAAAAAATCAAAAAAAAAAAAAAAAAACGAAGAAATATCCTACCAATATAAAGGACATTTATTTGCAAATAAAATCACAGTTGATTTTCAACTGTTTATATCGTTCTTACAAACTGGAAAAATAAATAAATAGTGTGGGTATGAATTGGCCGGGGCAAGTAATTTTCAAATGTCCATGCGAATGATAAAAAATCGTAGAAGCCCAGTTGTTACAGAAATGAAATTAGAAACAAGGTTCGGGGCCTGGAAAACTTGAAGCCATTAGCACTGTTTATTAAATGTGCTGACCCTATCGCTTTATTTGAAGTTGGTTAACGCATGCGCGACATCTCAGAATAGAAAAATAACACGAGCCTTAAGTAAATCAATGTAAGAAATATATATATATATATATATATAGGTAGTACGCAATATTTTATCAAGTATTTTATGGCAATTAAAAATCTGATTTATACCCTTTCTTAAGCGAAGATTTCAAGTACCCAGAGTTGTAAAAGTATTTCTATTTTGAATCTCGCAAAAGAAAAAAAAAAAAAAAATACTTGGCTAACTAGTTAATTTTATAGATAGCAGAATCTATTTTTAAAAATCCGTATGGACAGTGAAATAATTTATATTGATTATATTAAATGATAGATTTGCATTGATTTGATGAAAAATTAAATCTCTATGATTTTTGCAAGAATTTCAAGTAGTTTATTGAAGTAGAATAATTGCAGATAATACATTGTTTAACAATTAAATAGGACAATGTCAATTACACGATCTTTTGTATATCTTTTATTCTTCCTCGCTTATTTCTTCTTCATTATTATTATATATCCAAATAGTTTATAAGAAATTTAATTTTTATCCTAGATGTCTATTTAATTTAGCTCGATCGTTTTGACAATATTAATTTAAAATTGTCCTCGACTCGATAAATAATTTATCGTATTATTGTTAACTCGCCTGAGCTATCTTATGGCCAAATACTCGGAGCGTATAATAATATAAATAATTTTATTTACATTTAAATATTAATATTACATTTACATTTGATAAAGGACTTGGGTATTGTGACGTCTAGATATATATATATATATATATATATATATATTGTTATTTAAGGGCATCAATTGAGCATTAAAATGATACTCCATATAAAGATATAAAATGGCTTTTGATCTTTACGAAACATTTTATTAGATATTCCATTGCATATTCCATATGGTCAACAGTCCCTCTAGTCATGCCTGCTAAAAGCGAACCCTAATAGCCTGTCTCTCATTCCTTATAGACGTTTATCTGACAAATAACAGCTGGATATACGTCTGATCTCGTCTATATAACTATTAAACGACAAGAATTTATTCGTAGCTTTTAGATATATGAGAAATCTATCTGGCAATTATATTTATACGTCGTACGAGCATTCGTAATCGCCGAGCATTTAAATAGTACTTATCGTTTAATAAGCGTATTATTGGATCGATAAAAGTTGGTCGCAATTATGCGAAGGACGGATCGATAATTCTACGATTGAGAATTTTATGATGGAAAACCGATTGCAGAAAGTATGGAAAGTGAGAGCGGTGATTTAGGGCGAAAAATTTACGTCGCGCGCGAGTGAGCCTTTATTCGGAGGACTCGCTAAATAAAATGTTAAAGGCACTCGTGTCCACTTTAAGAGCTTTTATTATTATCCGCGTGAAAGTCGAACGATCCGATTGGTTAAGAAGAAATTGCGCGGCGGGGGGAGGGGTGAGATCGATGCCCTACAAGCAAGCCGCATCTCACCTACGCGTGGACTCGTATTATACGATGTGGCCTGCGCTCGCGATTCATAACTTAAATTGCGTGAACGCAGCTGCGAGAAAAGGACGTGTGACGATAGGTCGTAAGTGCGCGGGAGACTTTGCCTTTGTGCGATTATCGCGCGATACTTTCTCCCTCCGCGCCAAAGCTCTTTATCTTACATTCTCTTCTCGAAATATTATGGCCAGACGGCCCATATGCGAGCTGCTCGGCTCATTATTAATACTCATTTTGCAATTTGTAGTTGATAATACTTTTCATTATAAGATTTTAACTTCTCAGGCGCCAAGCATACTGATTAGTCGGTTTAAACTTTCGGTAATTGGCACGGTGTTGTTTAAAATTAATAAAAGTATTGTCGTAGTCCGAGCAGAGGAGAGAAATAAACGAGAAGTTACGTGTAATTAGACGAGGTTTTTAACGTCAAACGATCAGCCTCATTGACGCTTACGACAATGCAATAAAGCCGTCACAAAACATTATGACGTTTATAATGATGTTGACCGAGCATTACGGGGCTGCGGCGATTCTACAACGAGTGAGCGAATAGTCGGAATAATAACAATAATAACTGGGGCCATGTATCTTAAGGATAAGCGTCATTACAAACGTTCGTGATGTCGCTGATTAAAAATTCTATTTCTCGCTTATCCGACGTCAATTACGTCAATTACGGCAGGACTTTCGAAAAATTGTTGCAAAGTCCTCCTCAAAGTGACGCCTGAGACAATGTCACGCTCCAATTCACTAATTCAGCATTGCGCGTAACTTATCGAGAGCAAGTAGATTTTTAATCGAGGCATCCGAGTCAGGTGGCCGAGCTCGACATTTAATTCCTATTAAGTGTAATCGATCGATACAACGATCAAGTATCGCACGATAAATCACGCCAGCCTGAGTCCTGTCGAGCATTTCATTTCTCGATCTACACGATCTGCATTCGATAGCCACGATTCTCCTCCGCTCCTGTTCCGTATCGTTAGGCTTGGCAATAAAACAGAAACTAAGGAGAGCTTTAGACTTTGGGATAGCGAAGCTTTGCAAAGTCAAGTCACGGCGAATAATAATTCTCTCCGGTTCGCCGTCCCCGGTCTCGCGTACCGTCTCGAAAAACCATATTCTCGGCCGTCGGGTGATCAAGATCAAGCGTTGCACAGAGGACAGGGAAGTCTTAATTTCGTTAGCACCTCCGATCAATTAACATGATAAATAGTCGCCGAAGAAAGAGCTTCGAGCCTGCAGCTGTCGGCCAGTCGCGTAAGAATGGCCATTGATAGTGCGAAACAAGGAGTTTGTGATAAAGGTTACGGGCACTGTGTGTGCGCGCCAGGTTTTGGAGGACGCGATTGCTCTATTCCTATTAAGGTAGGGAAAGAAAAAATAAATAAATAAAATCTGCGACTTTTCCTCGGGCGATTTATTGGGACTTTACGGTCGGATAGAAGCGATCGGTGCTATCGCGCTTATCATTCCACTCCGAGGCGTCATCGTTTTCCGTAGCCACTTGGATCCTCGTACCCGAAGCTTTTTTAATGCTCGGCAAATTCATCTCGAAATTATTAACGGCTGCGGTTGATTAGGGAAGAGGGGCTGGGGAGTCGATTCTTTTACTTGTTTCTCTCTCTCTCTCTCTCTCTCTCTCTCTCTCTCTCTGTGTTTTTAGTTTTTTTTTTTTTTTCGAATCAGTGTCTATATCGAACGCGCACCTGCTCATCGACAAAATGTTTTCTTGCGCGATAGAATTGCAAATCCTCGTTAATATTTATGGGGAGCGAATAGAAGCCCCGACGAATACTATTCTTTAGGAGATACGGTCGTGTAAATAATTTATTGCTGGGAAGGCGGTTTTATTAGTAATCGGTAGCAAAAGATCAATGCTAATCCTTGTATAGCGAGGAGATCGTCCTCGGGCTGCGTAGACGTACGTAACAGACTTCCGTCCAATGTTTCCTAAAAATATCGCAATTTGAGAGGAGATCGTTGCTGCTCAGCTTTACCGCTCTTAATTAACAATGAATTATCGACATATAAAATGAACAGAACTTGTGACAATTTATCAGTCACACCAATGTCCAAACAGATATTTAAAACCGTATTGAGATGTAAATGAGGTTGTCGAGGTCTCTATCTCACCGCCACTACCACCTACACCCTACGTGGCCGCCGATATCCTTAGTCGGTCCTGTCCTCTATAAGACCTCGGGGCATTCGTCGAGGCCGTGAAAGCCAAAGCGATAAGACAATAATAACATGTCGCCCCATTGTTATTGAAACAGCTGAGAAACGCTACTGCCGTATTCATCATGAATCTCTCGATGTCCGATCTCATGTTCTGCTGCTTCAATTTGCCCCTGGCGACATCGACCTTCTGGCACGGGTCATGGCTCCACGGACCGCTTTTATGTCGACTCTTTCCGCTACTGAGGTACGGCCTCGTCGCCGTCAGCCTCTTCACCGTCTTGGCCATTACCATCAATCGGTACATCATGATCGGCCACCCAAGACTCTATCCCAAGTAAGTAACGCGTCTCTCTCTCTCTCTCTCTCTTTAGCTATCTATCTATCTATCCATCTACCACCCACTAGGCAATTTCATTGCCGATTCACGCGCCATTTTTCAATCGAAAGATTAACACGCTCCCGGAAGTTTTCTCATTGAACGCAATGCTCGGACGAAAATTTTACTTTTATCAAAGACTTTGCATTTTTCCGCTCACTGTTCTGCCCCTTCGTGCGAATTGAGCGATTTTAACTAACGTTTTCAGCTAAATTCTTTCAATACTCGCCCATATTGTCGTTTTCTCGTTGTTTTTTTTTTTTTTTTTTTTTTTTTTTTTTTTTTTTTTTTTACGATAAATAGCGAATAAAATAATACATCGGTAAAATGCAATTTTTGCACGTGATTGTGAGGTTTTTCTTAATTTCTTAAACTTAATTTCTCTAAAACTCCATAACTCTTTAACTACTCTAACTATAACTCTAACTTTCTCCATAACTCTCTAAAACTTAATTTCTCAGCCGCTAACTTTGCATTTCATTTTCTCGGTAAAGCTATCGGTAAAAATCCTTGTTACAGATTATACAAGCCCAAATACCTCGTGCTGATGGTCCTGGCAACGTGGCTCGGCGGCTTCGGGGCCCTGATACCAACCTGGTTCGAGCAATGGGGTCGTTTCGGCCTCGACCCAGCCATCGGCTCCTGCTCGATTCTCCCCGACGTCAATAGCCGCAGCCCCAAAGAGTTCCTCTTCATCCTCGCCTTCCTCGCCCCCTGCATCGCCATCGTCGTCTGCTACGCCCGAATATTCTACATCGTGAGGAGGACGGCGCTCAAAAGCCGCAGACGCGACGAGGCGACAAAGGAGCTCGTGCGATCTAATTTTCAGGTTACGATCGTTTATTCGCTATACGCTATTCTCCCTCATGTACGACGTACGTGTCCTTATTAATTTATTAATCGAAATGTTTTTTACACTGACTTTTACAAACCGAGCGGGTGCCACGTGCCTTCCTCTCGCGGCAAGTGATTAATATTATTGAAACAAGTTGTTTCCGGAACAATTTTAGTTGGTACGCTCACACATTCCGGGTGCTTATTCGCTTCGCGAATTAAAATCTTTAACGACGGAATTCAAAATTATTTGATAGTGTGTGCATATCCAATGATTAATTCTTACCGACTATATGAGCATATTTCGTTGGTTAATGCACGCAGAAACTTTGCTTCTTAGAATTTCTAATCTTAAAAAAATAATCTTCGCGTAAGTGTTTAATATGAATTTGTGCGGCTAATTTGTTCATTTGCATTTTACAGCACTGTAGTTGGAGAAGACATTTAACAAATTAATGCTAATAAATTTGTTAAAAATGCCCATTTAGTATAAATAATAATAGTTGTTCTTCGACAGATGCAACTTAATGGCAACGTTGGCGTTCTATTTCAAATAAGAGAGGGGAGGGGTGGGCAAAAAAAAAAACATTGATATTAGAAATGTATGTTGTCCCATCGATCGAACTTTAAAAGCTCGCGAGAGAAAGCTCTGCTCTCTATTAACAAGAGCTAATATCTATATATATATATATATATATATATATATATATATATATATGCGTTATAATATAAATTTATCAAGACCAAAATAGAATGCGACAATTATTGTTATAATTGTTATTATTATAATATAAGTTGATGATATTTTCTAAACAGAAATAAATAAGAAAACGAGTTCGAGCTCGGGAATGAAATTACGTCTAATGGTGAAAAGTCACTAATTAAACATCGGTCGCGATAATTAATTGCACCCGTTCACTCATTTAAATTGACTTCGATACTTCGAGCTACGAATATTGAAAATTTTGACGATAAAATCAATTGCTTATTTGAAATAATTAACCTTATACTTTTTTCCGGAGTCGAATATTTATTTTTATAATTTTCTACACTAGAAGCAGAACATTGCAATTACGTAGCACACACTTTAGAGGTGATTAAGTGCACTCGTGGCACTAGGCCTAGGAATTTCCAAGAAATTAGATTTTAGCCAGAGGCAATTTCGCGCCACCTTGCCACGCGGCTCATTTATTTACTCGTTTTTGTTTGTTTTTTTTGCCAAAACCAGTTACCAATATAAGTCTCCATTCATTGATTATTATTTACAATACATTCGTTACTCTCTATACCGCATGTCATCAATAAAGAACACGAAACACAAATTGCATTACCTCATACGCTCGAACCAACCATCTCGTAATATTCGTGAAAGTAGCGCGAAAGATGATAAAAATTTGTTATCAATGCATCGCTAATAGCCACCTAAGAGTAGTCGGTCTTTCTTCCGGTTCATCAATATTTATCAAACGACTACCTACACCTGTGCACCTCGCTCTTCCATCCATTTAAACTGTTACTTCTAAAATCAATGGCATACGAGAAGCCGAACAAAGCTATAAATATACTTGCAAAAAAAAAAAAAAAAAGAAAAAAAAATAAAAAGAAAAAGAATTCGGACTACGGGAATAATGCAATACGATGCACACGATGACACTAGGCATTGCCGAAATTTTATACGGGCTAAGCTATTAAATGCGATTGATCTACAGATCGATGTTCGGAAACGGTCTGGAAAGCAGAAAGACATACGCCTACTCTTGGTCACGTACACCCACACGGAGGCTTAATTCGGATTAATTATGTAGTAAAGTGTCGAGCAGACATGACTCTACGCATCGCACATTTATACCTATAATTTACTAGGCTAAACACGGCGAGCAAAACGATGATTCCAATCACCGATTTTCCAGCCAAGCAAGCTATGGCTACGGGAAAATTAAAGCGACAGAACGAAGATTTCTCGACCGAATTATACCCGACCGAAGCAGGTCATCGGCTTATCGGTCATTCCGGATTTTCCGTTTGCGTTTGCTGCCAACGGTTTCGTATCAACGGTTTCAATTCCAGCCCAGCGCGTTCTCTCGGTCTAAGCTTAGACGACTTTCAGCCATTCTCACGGACACTTAGGCAATCGCTAAGTAATCCGTTGCTGTTGTCCTAGACGAAGCTGTCCAAGAACCAGGAGGACTCGGCAATCGGCTCCATGAGCTGCCAGGCAACCCACACGAGCGAGAACAGCGGCTCGCCAATCAAGTACGAGCACCAGGACCTAGTGCTCGGGGTCCCGGACACTCGTGTCATACCGGAGGTCCGCGTCCAGGATAATCAGCCCCTGGAGCTACCACGGAGCCTCGAGCGTATGCCGGCTAACGGCGTCTCCGAGCAGATACTCGACACGGGTACCCTGCAGAAGGGCACCTCGCGATTCCTCACGCCGCCCATAAGGTTCACCCCATCCGTAATTCAGGCATTCGGCAAATCGTCGACAGTAGCTTTAATGCGCAGACGGCCGAAGAATTTCTCCTTAAGAGTTGATTTTTTTCTCTCGTTAAGAGTTGATGGTGCGCGATTACGATTTAGCACAGTGTGGATAATCCAATTGGTGCATGTAACGTTTGACAATTTTCACTGTAGAATTCTTGCACTGTAGAAAGAGAGGAGGAGATGATGGAGGAAATGATGGAGGGATTGAGGGATTATGGGGGTTAGTGATCACACTGAATTATTCGAATAATAAAAAGAATTAACGAGGCGGTTCTCATATCTTATTACAATTCATCCTCTTTATCTGATTTCCTTTTTCTTTTTTTTTTTTCTTCATTATCTTTTCTTTTCTTGTCCCCCTTTTATTTTTTATCCCCGAACGTACGCTAATTATACTCATACCGAACGAACGTCCAATGCTTTTTGCATTAAATGAAATCAAAGAAACTTATCGGTAGCTTTTAGTGCCAAATTAACGATATTGCACAGTAATTATGCAACCTAATGGTCCACGAATAAATAGCATAAAAACGCAGTCCGATTAGCGTGTAATTTTTGATGATTGGGCAAAGGACGGAGCGACATCGGGAAATTGATAGTAATCCCGAGAGGTCGCAGGATAAAAGGCGTCGTTGTAATGATATGATTGTGTCGCAGGTACGAGGAGGTGTCGGACGATTGCGCGAGCTCCCGCTCGGATTCGCCCTCGGAGAAGAGGCGAACGAGCGACGGACGTCGGAGCGAGGCTACGTCAGCGTCAGGCGGTCGCGTCCTGGGCCGGGGCTCGCGATTTCGGAGCGTCCGGGGCCGGAACTTCGAGACAGGCAAAATGACGGCCAAGGATAAGAAGCTCCTCAAGATGATCCTCGTAATATTCTCATCGTTCCTCGTTTGCTACCTGCCCATCACCATCACCAAGACCTTCAAGGAAGTCATAGACTGGCGGGGTCTCAACATCGCCGGCTACATACTCATCTACCTGACCACGTGCATCAATCCCGTCATCTACGTGGTTATGAGCTCGGAGTACAGGAGCGCCTACAAGAACGTGCTGCTCTGCAGAAGCGACTCGGGTAACGCTGCCGGGAACGAGCGCCGGAAGCTGCAGCACAAGAAGCAGCGGCCCTCGAGGAAGATACAGAGGAACGGCTGATGAAGAACTTCCCCGGTCGTCATGGATTTCGTACGCATTTTTGCTAAGCGTTTTTTTTTTTTTTTTTTTTATCGCTAACTCGTCGGTCGGTTAATGCTGTCGAATTTGCGCCATCGACGACAACAATTAGCTCTTTAACGACGAGAAAATTTCAATTGTCGTCCCTATCGCCCGGACGATCACTTTTCACGTCAAGTTTAGCGCAAATGAATGAAACGAGCCGAATTGAGTTACATACTTTCTCTCGCGCACATCGTATACACACATTTTATTGTAAACATACTATTTAACATATAACATTGATTGCGTAATTAACGAGGTTCGAAGCTTCATTACGATGGATTATGCAATTTTACGATGTATTGTTCAGAGATGTGTGTACTCTTAATTTAGATGATAGGTAAGCACAAATTCACAATAATGAAAATTTTGCGTGAGCGGAGTGCGCAAGACTGAGTATCTTCCAAATTTTCCAATACTCATTATTATAGAGAACAAGTGTAAGCAAAATATGTTCTATCTTCTTTTAAGTACACATAGAATGTGCATAAGTATAAAGAGCATTTTTATAAATTGCCGTTTTCGATCCCTTTATGCAAATGGATCGATCGAGCGATACTTGAAAATGTAATAAGAATTGTGAAAAGGAATGAATCTTATATATCTTTTTAAGTTTAAGTTTAAGTTTGAGAAAATAGCGAAAACAGCATAGCGAACGCTTATGTAAAACTTTTATTTTACGATAATTATTTTTTTCCTTAGAAATTCATTTCAACGTGATTATTTTTAAATACATAGTAACGATAATATTCTTTATTCAGTGCTGAAGTATATAACTAATGAAATTTAATTATCTTTATATATCTCGTACGACTCGATATTCTTTTTATATAACTTCAACTCCACTTTATAAATATATATATAAACTTAAGCATTTTTAACTAAAGAGTCAAGTTTTTTACTTTTAATGTAAAACTCAATATATTTATAACTGTCTAATCAAAACAAATTAAGATATAATTCTTTTTTTTAAATTATTATACAGATTTACGTTACAATCATGTTTATTTATAATAAGTAATATTTAAAAATAAAAAAAAAAATAACCTAAAATATTACAAAAATTCCTATCAAATTAATTTATCAAATTTTATTGTTTATAAAAGACGAGCTTTACTTTATGTAAAATAAAATTTTATAAAATAGAATGGATATATACAATTACAGTGAAAATTCATTTTCAAGCGTAACAACATTTATTTAAAATTAAAAACGATGCTCGTAATATTCCATAGGAACGGGAATTTAAAATAGGAATAATCATAAACATTATTGAGCAACGACAAAATTGTCAAACGTATTTTTATCCAAAATAGACGATTTCTTTAATTTCTTTTTTTTTTTATGTGCTATAATTTTTATAAAACTTTTTATGTTACAAACTATTCTTCCATAAAGAAGATTATCTTAAAAATTAAGATAAAATCATTTCTATCAAATGTTTTGGTATAATATATTATTACTATATTCTAAGCTGTTCTAGATGTACATAAATTTATAAACAATCTTTACATCTAATATGATTAAAAATCGATAATAAAGGTGTATAATCAATTAATAAAATCAATTATTGTTGTTAATATTTTATCTTTTGTATGAATAAATTATAATATTTTTATCGTTTCAAATAAGTTATATTAAATACGATTTATAATACATTTTATATATGCTATTAAAGACATGAAATCCAATGTAATAGCCGAATGACAAACATCATTTTTGCAATAAAATTTTTTATCAGTAGACTTACACTATTTCACAGATTATTAATTACAACGGAAATTGAATACAATATCTTTAAAATTGTGTCTATATAATATTTATATACATTATTTGATTAAGTTAACACGAATGAGAACATGTGCTAATATTTAATTGTCCGAGCAACAAATGTCTGTGTATTATTATTATTAAGCAGGAAACTCAATAAATTAAGTAACTGAAATCGGTGTTTTTTTTTTTTTTTTTAAATGTTGAATTAAACTAAAATGTTGTTTATTATGCAATATGGTATGAAAACCATATGGAACCATATTTGTACAATAACATAAAATTTACGTATTATATAATTGAATATTTTCATTAATAATTTTATTAAATTATCATTGGCGAAAAACTCGATAAATAATTTAAAACAATTCTTGTTATTACAATTTTAAATCCTGTACTTTCACATTCTCGGACTTCTTCGGATTACAATTTATTTATAACAATAAATAAACCACAATTTAGAAGAAAATTATTATAAAACATGCATACACAATTCAGCAGTAGTGTTTCATAAAAAAATATATGACAAATAATGTGTAGATGACAATTCAATATAAAAAAAATCATAACATTCCTTGTAAATCCTTACTAAATTAGCATTAAAGGTAATAGAGCTGAAATCAAATTACATGTCTTGTTATTATTAATCGTTTGATTAAAAATTGATGTTTGTCTTGTGATTATACAGCTTCGCTCTTTTCATAATTATGCGAGAAAATTTTTTTGTCAATTTTCACGTAATATAAATATAATGATTAAAGTCACAGATTATTAATGAATATTTACTGGTAGCGTAGCTACAGCAGGTGACATTGTATTAATGTTCGTTTTCATCTCGGCATTATTAAAATTTTTATTGAATTTCTGCTCACCGGCGTGCATAACATTAAGAATTTTCTTTTTATTACGCAATATGTACTGTTTAATTCCTGCGAATCCGCACATTCCCAATCCACTTAACATTACGAAGTACTTAAATATTCTGCGCATAAATCACAGATATTTTGCATTATTGTTAAAATTCAAAGTGTCTTTATTTATATTTTTAGAAAAATGTATCCAGTTTAAGTCAATTTAAACGGTAATTTATATTTATTTCAATATGATGATTATTCAAACAATGTACCGTTATAATTAATATGTTACAAATTTTAATCGAATTTCTTTTTTTTTCATTCTTTTTTTTTTCTTTTCTTTTTTTTTTTTTTGAATTTATTTACGAGCTTACAATAAAGTGTTCAGATTTTAATTGTGATTACTCTAATTATTTAATCGATCTAATTCAATACTTACTTGGATAACAAAACCATCGTATGTCCGGATTTGATTTCTTTTAAAAGATATTCTGGCATAATCATGACCTCATCCATCCAGAAAATCGGTAGCAATGCCTCACGATAATTATTCAATTGTTTCATTTTTTCCACTTTGTTGACTAAGATATTTAATTGTGCTCGTGTATGCACATTTATCGGTATACCGGTAAATGGATCTATATCGATAATTATCATGTGCTTTTCCTATTTTGAAGATCATTGGATTCGGTTACATGTAACATAATTGATTAACTTAGTTAAACAAAGCAAAAAAAAAAAAAAAAAAAAAATGAAGAATAAAGAAAAAAAGAAGAAAATGAAAGAAAAGACAATTATTTGTTAAAATTATAGATTTTAAACAAGTTAGAAGGTCCGTGTCGTCAATAATTCGTAAAATAATAAGTAGCAAAGTTATCCGTAATTAAGAATTAATTCACTTTTCTATACTTTTCGATGAATTATAAAAATAATTTATATTCATAAAATATAAATTTGAATAATGTAAGCATTTAAATTATTATTTACATGCTTGTTTATTAATATTTTAATAGGACTGAAATTGCAGACTTTATCTCAATGTTATAGAAAATAAAATTAAAAAAATATTGAATAATCAACATGTACGTGTTTGATGTTAAAACTATTACATGATACCTTATCAGGTTTCATGCCGTCTATTAAATCTTTGTAGTAAGGATCGGCCAAGAAAAAGTGAGGATTCGTAACAATTATTGGTGATTTATTACATTTATATGTATCAAATGTTCCTTTCTTTAGACATTTATTTGGCGGCTGACAATAACATTTCTGTCGAGGATTATTTTCACTATCAATACCTAAATCAGTGGTATATCGAAGTAAGTTCATATCTGAAACATAATTACACGTTCTACGTACAATATACATTAGCAAAATTGCACTTTAAAAATTATTGATTTTGCTATTTTCAGGAAATTTAGCTCCTCTAATCTATATAGAATAATTATAAATTGTCTTAAACAAAAGGTAACTACTAGTTCAAATAACATTAATCTCGTCCTCCTGATTGAAATTATACGTTGCATTCGAACATTATTAAGCACTTTTTGCGTCTCAATTTATACATTATCAACAACAATGATAAATTTAGTTTTTACTTAAAAAAAATGACAAAGTATAGAGTGGTCGTTTCAATGATTATGCTACAACGGGGAATTTGATATTTACTTTTCGCGATTTAAATCGTTTTATCGATTGTACTTGCGCATTCGAAGATGTCGTAGTACATCAATTGCGCTACGATTCGCAGGAGCTTATAATCGACGGTGCATTACGATCAAATTACACCTCGACAATGTTATGACTTTATGACAATGAGCGTACCGAGTATATTTCTCCGCCATAGCTCAATTTTATCTACAATAATAAGTTTTCTAATTTAATACATTCTAAGAAAAATATACTTTTCACCGAATTTGCTGCATTTCTTATCGTAATGCGATATATTATATATCGGAAATTTTTAATTATAAATTTCCTAAAAGAATTTTTGTTTACTCAATTTGCAAGTAGTTGCAGTAGTAGTAGTAATCCCACAGTATACGTCTGGCCTATTTTAAAAGGAAACTAAAATTTCTTTGATTTATGGTTGTAGTTAACTCACTATCTCATTCTCTCTCTCTCTCTCTCTCTCTCTCTCTCTCTCACTCGAATTTCAACAGTAGTTTCTACTAGATAAAATTGAATACGAGTGAAATAAATAAAAGTTCTAGTTGATTATTTTAAGTTATTTTATTATTATTTTTTTTTATTATTTATTTTTTTTTTTTTTTATTATTATTATACTAATAATGAGTTGAATTTAAAAAATACAATAATTTATATTCGATAAAAATCGAGTGAATCGAATAAATTAACAGTATGTCGTTATATAAATTCCCAAATAATAATTCGATTGGATATTTTTATATCTCAATGCATGAGATGAAAAATAATAGTCGTATATTTGTAATAATGTTTATAAAAAATAATTGAACATTTACGAGACACTATGTGTTGGTGCACTTACTGGAAAACGTAGTTTTCGATTCAAAATGACAGCTTATACTCCGACAAAGATTCGGATTGAAAACAACGACGTCGTCTCTTCCCTTTCTATCGAAATGAGGATGGAAAACAGTACCGTCGGTCCCATTAAACGTATCGCAGTACTCGTCATCCCAAACCGAGATATTCCGATTGTTATTGTACTCTATAACCTTACCTACGTCCATTATATTTTTTATGCCTCGATGGACGCGTGTTCGCGCCTTCGACTCAGTGCCATTTGCCTATAAGATTAATACTCAATGGAATAATAATTAAATATTAATTCCTATAAGTATACCATATTTATTGATTAATTGATCCATAAATACGTAAGTTCGAAAATTACTATATAATTTGCATAATTTACCGGTCTTACTATGGACGCGGAGTATAGATTTTCCCCCACCAGTTGAATGTCAAGTGTTTCGCGATAAATTTTGATCTGAGTACAAACTGCTGAGCCTGCGAAATCTTGCACATTACAATCGACGAGGAGGCCATCGAATAATATATTCCTAACTTTCGTTTTTATAAATAGATTCTCTGGTTTTCCGAATATGCTATCAATTGCTTTACCTATGCTTAATGAAGGTAAGGATTGAAAAATTTTGCTGCTTACCCTAGTACAATATTTACAAATGTCTTACTTAAAACAGGTAGTGCGCTAGGCTTATCTCGATGAACTGCATTGATCAAAGCAAAAATAAAAAAATGAGGAATTACAATTTCCATTTCGTCACTGAGACCATTGCTTTTATCCTTATTAAAATAGTACATGCTCTTAGTGGCGTATGATACGGTGTCATCATCTTCCTCATCGATCTGATTTACTTTCTCATGCCATTTGCTTCATTAAAAGTGCGAAAAAATTTCACAGATATGCTTATCTTAATATATAAACAGTCAATTATTATTGTTATTGTTATTATTATTATTATTATTATTATTATTATTATTATTATTATTATTGTTGTTGTTGTTGTTATTATTGTTATTATTGTTGTTATTGTTGTTATTATTGTAATTATTGTTGTTATTGTTATTATTGTTATTGTTGTTATTATTGTTATTGTTATTATTATTGTTATTGTTATTATTATTATTATTATTATTATTATTATTATTATTATTATTATTGTTATTATAAAACAATCTTATTAAAGGATGTCAAATTAGTGATAATTGTTGTCATTTATTATTGCTTTTACGACACGTTTATAAATACAAATATAAATGAAAAATATTTATAGCCTAAGGTATGTAAAGAAGTATGTGTTTGTATTCATATACACATGTCTGAATATGTGAATATATAGTTGTATATAGCCAAAAAAAAAGAAATGCAAGTAACAAATAAATTTATACAAATACATAAAATTGCATGTCTAAAATTTATATATAAATTTAATATATATATATATATATATATATATATATATATATATATATAGGTGTTCGTGTGTTTAGAATAGAAAGAAAAAACGGTACGTGTGTATAGTGTTATTGAAATATAAAAAAATTTCAAAATCTTTGAAATCGAATAAATCATTACATTCGGCCATTAAATGTATTATAATTTTGTCTATTTTTCTTTTTTGCAAAACAGCTTTTCATATCATACTTACCCATTTCAAGATATTTATTCTGAATTTAAAAATTATTTTTTAAAATCCTGTTATGTTTTTGTAGAATTAAATAATAAAAAATAGAAAAATAAACTCATTGTAAAGAATTACCGGTTTAGCCAGATACTTAGAAAAATAAATCTTTAAAAAGTTTTATCAGACTTTCCATTTGCTATCTAGTTTTCGTAAATGGAGTGAGCAAGAGAAAGGAAAAATCACGAAAAAAAAAAAAAAAACCCCTTTTTTTTTTTTTTTTTTTTTTTTTTTTAAAGCTACATCGTAAGTAAACTTATTCGTAGATTCTACTATAAAGTAAAAATTCGCATTAATGATATAATAAAGTAATGACCCGAATCCGATAAAAATTGATGAGTGAGTTGAAATTGCCTTTTTACTTGGTTATAGCTTTTCGCGTATATTTTAATATTATACTTCAGTTTTATTTGTGCATTATTCAGTTTTATTTAATTAAACTTAAATAGTCGATTTTAAGGACAATTTTAATTGTCCGATATTAAAATTTTCGCAAAAAATTCTTCCACCAACTTATTTATTTTTTATGCTTCCATAGAATACAATTTACCTACGAGTCTTTCAATTCGTATATTAATACTCTTACTTAATAAAAAAAATAATACGCAATATAATCTATAAATGATAAGATATGCAAGATTAAATTATTTCTACCAAAAAGAATATATTGAATTATGTCTCTCATTGTGACAAATTCATTTTTACATAAAGATTTTTATGACATTGTATCATTTATTTGGATTTCTATGTAAATTCCCGTTTGTCGACTGATCGGAGAATTTCAATGATTAATTTGTAGATATTAGTGTACGCTAGGCTATCAAACAGTGGTTATCAATATTTTCCTTATACGTCCATGCAAACGAATTCTTTTGATTAATAGAAATTGTTAAAAATAAGCCGATACACGCCTTTTCAACCTTCGCCTTTGCCTTGCAAAATAATGCCTTGTGCCGTTATACTTTTAAGTGCGCATGAATAACAACATTTGTGCCAATGTTCGGCAAATATTGCAAATATAATTTTAACGTATAAGGTAATGAAAGATGGCGTGTCACTCACCTCATCGCATTTATTATAGACATAACATCCGCAGATGCATCTTATCAATTTTTGTAGCTTGTACTAGCGAGTAGGGATAGGGAAGATTAAATAGGAAGACAGTGAACAAAGATGGAGAGCTTCGGTAAAATTGCGATCGGATTTCAATGAGAGTAGAAAGACTTTCGAAGCTCGCGATAACAAGTTTATTCGATTATTTTTTTATTAGTCGATCATCACTTGCGTTCAAGGTAATTACGTTGCCATTAATTTTCACCCGATCGAGCGACGGAACAATAAGTTTGTCTTACGCTGTGCAGATCTTTTTTTTTTTTTTTTTTTTTTTTTTTTTTTTTGTTGCTTTATATTTTGGTGTTTCGGTGAAAAATATGTTATATATGATAATAATAATCTACTTTGTTCGATCGATTAATCTTCGAAATTTCGAAATACACGATTGAATTTGAATGTAACTTGAAATTAATTCCATCGCAACGATGCACACTGTACCTTAAAACCCATTTAATATGCACTTGGTTAGTGTAATACGAAATTTCAACAAGTACCTTTGTCGTACTACCTAATGAATATCAAAATAATGCCACGTCATACTTTCACATTCTATGCCGTGTTCGTGCTCGAGTGAAGCGATGAGATTTTTTTTTTTAATGCCAGCCGAATTCTGACATTATTTTCGTAATGTCTCTTGGTTTGATATATTCATTGAAATCCCCGCAGTTGTAATCTAACTTTAGCATTTAAAAATATTCATATACATATTTAGGTAAAGATGAAATAATAAAAGATAATAAAAAATTCCTCTCGGCTATTTTACATAATTATATTTAGGTAAAATTTCTCTGTTATATCATAGGCTTTTAATCAATCGAAAGAAAATTAATTATGATTATTAATTATATTTTAATAACGAACGTTTGTAGACACTTCAATTCGTACCATACATTCGACAAAAATTTAATATAACTTTGTTTCTTTTAACCGTACGTGAGGGCATCAACATGCAATACAACTCCTTTACTCTTACGTACGTGTAACCATTTATATAAATTATTTTATCTGAGTTTCTTCTTTTTTATTTTGGTTATGTTTTGTTTTTTTTTTTTTGTTTTTGTTTTTGTTTTGTTTTTTTTTTATTTTGTTTTTGTTTTTGTTAATTTTTGTTTGCTTTGTGTTTTGTCGATGCAATTAAAAAGTCCGATTCGGGTGTTTATAACGTTTAAAATTTCATGTACTAAAGATGAATTTTTTTTTCGCTTTGTAATTTTTTCGAACGAATGGACGAATATGATTTAAGGTATCGAGTAATTAAACATTATATTGACATTACGATCTTTCCTAGCATTGAAATTACATTATAACGAATAACTTACTCGTAAACGAAAGGTCCAACTTCTTGAACCACTGGTTTCTCTCCAGATTCAATTCCGTAAGGATTCGTTACATTAAACATGTAAATGTGAAACTCGAATGCAAATGGAAACTTACCCCATATATCTCTCATCATCCATCCTTTCTTCAAAGCTACTTTCTACGAAATATATGAATTATTAAAACATCACTAATCGACATAAATAAAAAAATAAATAAATAAGTAAATGAATCATTAGAATCTCTATTATGAGATATTATTTTAAATAAACTCTTAGTGAATAAGTTGTCAACTCTATATATTAAACTCGAGAGCATAATCGCTGAAATCCTGATCGATATACAAATATTCGAGGATTATCACGGACGAGGAATTGTAGGAACGCGAAGAGGAGGGCAACGCGCATAGAAAAATATATCCCGTAGAATCCTTATAGCCCCTCATCCTTTATGCATTTAAAAGGACGAAGGAATAGGGCTGCAGAAAAGACGCGCAAGCAATCGGATTTTCAGGAGGATCAGGAGTATCTCGCTAAAGTAATATAAGAAATAGTCTCAGTGGGGCTTTGAGTTGGCTGAGCCCATTCGGGGATTACGTTTTATAAATATTATCCTCGACCGCTGTTTTGCATGTGAAATAAGATTATAAATAGAAATACCGGATATCGGATTTCGTCAATTATTTCGTATTCACTTTAGTTATTTTATTACATAATTTACTGTGCATATTATAACGATATTCTGAATGTAAGACTACAATGTTAATTGAGATTTATTTTTAGTTCAACTACTTTCATGAACTATAAATTATTAAATTTATTCAATTACATGCATGATACGCGTCCCCCCCCTCTCTCTCTTTTCAAGCTTCGAAAAGTGATGAACCATCAATTACAGTTTGAACAATTATGTTTATCTTGTATAAAATTCTTGTAAAAAATTTAAGATGATTAGTTGTGGTTGTAAAGTTGGATTAAATTTATATATTTTAAATGGTCAATAACTTATAATATTTATAAGATCATTATTTATAATATAATATGCTTTTACATGAGAGTATTTAAAACAATTAACGATGCCGTGTTTCCTTAATGAAGTCTTTATCATACTGTGATAGCCATAACAGACAATGTCACGTTCAATCACACAATGTGTTTTTTTTTCTTCACTTTTGTTTATTGTTTTATTTGATTGATTGATTGATTGATTGATTTATTTATTTATTTATTTATTTATTATTTGAAGGTTTTATCAATGACATATTATTTATTAACTTTGAAGGCTCGCAAAATCTAAACAAATAATTTATTTAAAAGAATCTATACTCCTTACTAATTGCTTGATTACAGAAGCATAGAACACTGTGTTAGTTCAAATATTTTACAAACTTGACGGAAAAGGAGTTTAACAGTTAAAATTTTAAATAAGTATTTAAATAAAAATATGTAAAATTAATGGAATGATATTATCGGTATAAAGAAAACTATTGCCATATTATCCTTTAGATTCTTTTTATTCACTAGAAACTACATAGTCTTGTAGTAAAATTTTAATTTCCTACATATAAGAAATAATTGCTAATCGCTTCAATTTTCGGCTTCGAACAATGAAATTCATCTATACATAAGTAATGTAATAAAAATCTATGTAATGTTAAATTTTCCAATAATTTCAATACAATAATTTTCATTACAGTAATCCTAATAAATAATACTTATTAAGCGTATTAAGATTTCGCACGGAAAGTTACGGTCATCTTAATTTTCTCATTACATCGATACACTCACTCTTTTCACTTGAGATTTGATGACGGCCGGTAATATGGCTGTTTGAAGAATAATACTGAAAATGAACAGGCATCCGCCAACAATGCCGATCTTTTGAATCCGCGTCAACGACATTTTACGAGATTTATCTTCTTTAATGATTTCGTTCAAGAGACCAATGACAAATCTAAATTTATATGAATATCGTAGACCACTTGGAATATGTTGAATTACTACATTCAGCCTGTCGAGCAAAAACGAAACCTTGGATTTGGAAATTTTGAAAAAATTTTTCAAAATCAACACCCGATGCTCGATTTATCCTTCTCGGCACTGAAAATTGGCAATTTTATCGGTCTAACGCGCGCTATTAATTCATAAAAACGCATAACATTTTATAATGATAATTCGTAGTTGTATTGAATTAATAGTAAGATTGGAAAAGTAAAAGTTACAATATTAAACTGACTTTAACCTAAGGAGTACTTAGGAGAGACTAAACAGGGATACATGCAATGCTACTATCGAGTAAAGACTCTTTGAATACAAATACATACTCAAACGTACAACACGTCTAAGCAAATAAGCGTTTTTTTATATTCACACGAACGCGCATATAAAGTTTTACAAGCAAACAAACACGCTGAAAAAATCTCGATTTTCATGTACGTGCAAAGCATTAATTCCGTCCATGACACTTAGATAATTATACAGTGCATCTTTATAATTTCTTTGATTATCGTACGTTAATTTTAATATTTAACATCAATTGTTGTATTTGTATTTGTAAATTACGATTCACGTTCAAGTTATAATTGAGCTTTCTTTTCATTTTTGCACTATAGCGCTCTCACTATAGCAAGAAATATCTTTATACAGGAACGTGATTGTAATTAGTCAAATTTTTAATACAACACGAAACCATTGTTTATACAAGTTTAATTTTTCATAAATTAAGCTTGGAAATATTGAAAATAGAATTTCAATCTATACTGCGAACTGGATATGAATTGCAATAATAGAATTGAATGTCATTATAATATATATCAATAATTAATTCAACTTTATTTAATTAAAAATCAATGTCACACAATAAATTGTCGAAGATACTTATAAATCATGTATTAACGTTCTTTATAACTTTGCGTGAGAATACCATTTCTTAAACAAAATTTTCTTCGATTAATCGTAATTTTAACGGATTTTAGGCTTAATTAAACAAACCTTGCTACTACGAAACTAATAAATTGTGGCATTAAAGCGAATTTATATGTTAATCGATTGTGGGTAGCGTCGATGACGATTGCAGCGTACTAATATTCATCTTCATTTTCTTTTTAGTGATATTCAGCAGTTCACTGTTTTTCCATTCCGTGGCCTTTACTTTGTTCCTCAGGATCGTCAATAAGCAATATTTATATCCTGAAAATCCACATAATCCTAGATCAATGGACATCAAAAAATATTGGAAAATACTGAATGAAAAATGCATGTGTACGGTTTTTTTTTTTTTTTTTTTTTTTTTTTTTTTTACAAGAATTGTTAAGAAAATAAAATAAGTAACGGCTATTATGTATTTACCGTCCAATTTTAAGAAGCATATAGGCAAATTTTATTTTTTTTATTAAAAAGTCTGGTAAAATTATGATCTCGTCGATCCACAAGATTGGCAGTAATACGTCAGGTATATTTTTTATCTGATTGATATTGTTTATACGATTTATAAACATATTTAATTGCACGCGTGTACGAGTATAGAGCGGAGTGCCAGTAAATGGGTCAATGTCAATTATTATCATATGATTTTTCTATATTAAAAAAAATTAATTATCACTATATATATATATGTATGTATGTATGTATGTATGTATGTATATATGTATATGTATTTAGTTTTATGGATAAAGTATATAATATTTTTTTATGATTATAATCTAATAGATTATTATATAAAGTGTAACGTAACTATTTGGCTTTTTCATTTTATATCATAAAAACTTTAATGAAAATTACGAATATATGAACGAATTCACATATATGAATGAAAAATTAGAGAATGCCAATCATATAACCTATTACCGTTTTCAATTTCGATAGAATTTATTGAAGAATTCAATTAAATATTGTACAATGAAATAAGTTGAAGATAGTTCTGCTTTAATTGGTGAAGTAAATACAACTTTCGAAGATACGGAAATACATTCTAAGGATTCATTATACGCATAAATAAGTACATATATACATGCATACACGTAGGCATACGCACCTACATTCATATATATATTTGGCATTCAAGTTTTTAAATCACATTATCACATATGCCTTATTTTATTTAATCTAACCTTATCAGGATTCAGACCATCTACTTGGTTCGAGTAATATTCGTCAGCCAAGTAAAAATGAGGATTCGTAACAATAATTGGTTTCAACGTGCGATTATAGATATCAAAGGCTCCCTTCTTCAGACATCCATTCGTTGCTGGACAGTAACATTTGTGCAAAGGATTATTATTTCCATCCGTTCCTAAATCTGTCGTATAGCGGAGTACCTCTAAACCTAAAAGTTTTAATTAATTAATGAACAATTAACATTATATATATATATATATATATATATATATATATATATATTATACATTGGCCGCGGAAGTGAAGTTGTTTATTATTTATGGAAATATCATAGGATTTATGTATATTAGCATATATCTCGAGCACATACCGTCGAATGTTGTTTTCGATTCAAAATGACAGCTTATACTCCGACAAAGATTCGGATTGAAAACAACGACGTCGTCTCTTCCCTTTCTATCGAAATGAGGATGGAAAACAGTACCGTCGGTCCCATTAAACGTATCGCAGTACTCGTCATCCCAAACCGAGATATTCCGATTGTTATTGTACTCTATAACCTTACCTACGTCCATTATATTTTTTATGCCTCGATGGACGCGTGTTCGCGCTTTCGACTCAGTGCCATTTGCCTAAAATTCGATTAACTAATTTTTGATAATTACTTGTGAAACGTCGTTAATAATTAAAATTCATTGAGCAGCGAAAATAATCGATTATTGTAATAATATGCCGCGAGGTAATATTGCTGATTCGATGAAATAAAATGTTTGCCGTATTGACATTTTTACAAAATCTTTATGGCTTACCGGTCCAAACATAGAGAGAATATATTTATTCTCAGCTATCTTCTTTAATCCGAATTTTTCATTTTTTTTTTCTTTAACTCGCTACGAATTGCCTTACCCGCTAAATCCATTACCGTGCAGTCAATAGGCAAACCGTCGAAAAATATATCCTTCACTTTCGCTTTGATAAAAAAATTACTTGGCTTGTTAAATATGCTGTCGAGAGCCTTGCCTATTTTAAACAAGCGATTTGCATTAATAAAGCAAAACAAAAACAAAACAAAAACAAACAAAAAAAAACAAAAAAAAATTTTTAAACAGAAACGACGGCTCGCCGTGATTTTAATAAAATCATTACCTATAATAGGGAGTACATTAGGCTTTTCACGTGCAACTATGTTAATTAATGAAAACGCAAAATAATTCGGAACCATAACTTCTTCCTCACCGGTAAGTCCATTACTATTTTCGGCATTAAAATAATAGGTATTCTTAATGGTATAGGATACCGTGTCGTCCTCCTCGTGATCCAATTGATTTGTTTTCTCTTGTATTTCACTATATGAAAGCGGTAGCTTCTTTCAATACGTATGCTTAAGTATTTTATTCGCATATCGCTTATGCGTAATTAGCGTGCCAATATGAGACGTGAAACTGTTCATTTAATACTTATATTATATACATGTATGAATAGAATAATAACATACTCGTAGTAGTAAGGTCCAAGCTCATTAATTATAGGCTTTTCACCTTCGCTTATTCCATCGGGATTCGTAACATTAAAAATATACAATTGAAAGCCTATGGAGAATGGAAATTTGCTCCATATTGTCCCCATTGACAAGCCTTTCATTAAGGCTACATTCTGCAAAATACGTCACTCGTTTATAAAGTAAATATAATTATCAACCGATTGATGCGCAATAATAATCGGTAAAACCGAGACAATTTTTTTTATGAAATGTACATTATCGCTTGCGAACGTGACTTTTCGTCATTATTAAGCGTACGATTATAAATAGAGAAAGAGCAGTCGAGGAAAGATAAGAGCGATAAATTCGGGACAGCTATGTTGATGCGCATGGCAGTTACGTACGACTATCAATAAAATTCATTATCATTAAATTAAGCCAAAGCCATTATACGTTATGATGATCAGACGCGATAATGAAATTTGTCCACTATTTCGTCAAAAGTCTATACAGTAAGGAGATAAATAGTTTGACACCCGCCCGCCTCCATGTATTATTAATATATTGTCGTTTGTCCTTAACCAACACATTTAAATATTTCAATTCTTATTCTAAATCAAATTTCTAAATAACTATTAAAAGTCCATAGCGTTTCGTGGTAAGAAAATAGAAAATTCCTTATTATTGGAAAGTTGAAAAACAGAAAATACAAAATACCTTATTTGTTTAGATTTTTACTTCTTGTTCTTCTCGAAAATAAAAATTGTCGGCTTTTTAATATTTTTCGATGTTCCATTTAGTCGAAAGGCTTAATAACTTGACTATCTTGACTTTACTTCTATTGTTCGTAATACATCGTTGCAATGTATTCGATTGTTGTTGGGAGGACCGAGATACAACAAATCAATTAATTTACTTCCCTATCAAGTAATAAGTAACAAATGACTGATTATAATTAAACGTCAATGACATTTCTTTTTTTTTTTTTTTTTTTTTTTTTTTTTTTTTTTTAATGGGCGATTTGGTGGAATAGAAATTTTTTTATAAATTTAACTCGTACAATTAACAAAAAAGTAACTATTACGCATTGTATAATGAGAAGTAGTTTTTAGAAATAATTCCTATATAATAGATGAAATACTACATTAATTCGATATCGATAATGTAACTGTTGTAATAAAAAAAAAAAAAAAAAAAAAAAAAAAAAAAAAAAAAAAAAAAAAAAAAAAAAACAAATTATGACTGAAATATAAAAGTATTGTAATTATTATAATTTATTGTATTTAGTATATGGTGGCTGTTATGGTTAATTGAGACTATTATTGTAAAGTTTGTAATTTAGAGAGAAGCGGTGAGGCCGATCGTTTTCTACTTTGTGCTCATAACTTTTTAAACAATTTTAATCAATAAATTGTTCACTAATGTAATTGACCGACAATGCAAATTATAATTTAATCGTTGTAATTTTAGCTTTTCTTCAGTCCCTTCAAATTACGTAAATTATCATTTACAATAGTGTGAGGCGCGTTTCATTCGATATTTATATTCATATTTTACCGATAAGCAACAAAATGCTTTTTAAACGTATTTTCGATAATTGCAATTTTGTAAGAATACGAAGGTCGAAGATGTTGATTATACAAAATTTTTTAAGGTATTTCAAAGATCTCTCAAGGACATAGAAATTCGTTTTACATTTAATATATTTAGTAGTAGTTAGCGCATATAGGGATGGAAAATAATTGCCGTAAGTAAGTATATTAAAAACTAATGAAATAGTGATAGTCGAATTATTTCGAGTGCACTAAAATTTGTATTTTGTGAAATGTATATTAATTTGGAAGAAATGGTAGTGAAAATTGTACTTATTTTAGGCAATAAACTAAATTAGAAAATTGCGTAAAACATGTAATGAAAAATGTTGTAGACATAGCTGCAACTAATATACTCCAAACAATGTTTAATTGGCAATAAAATTTTTGTTGAACATTCCTCTTTGTAAAATACCACAATCCTCACTTTTACTGATACATTAAATAATAATTATAATTGATATTATCTATAGAATGTAAATGTACGCTCGTATTATTGTTAATTTTACAAATTATATAGCGAATGGCGTAAAGAAAACATTTCTTTCATTTAGTGGTATAATCGACGAACTTGTACATCTATTTTGTCAATTAAGCAATGAGACTCTAAGCCCACATTTTAATAATCATTAGCGCGAAAATAAACTTATGGAGCAGAGTGTGCTTAAACAAATTTTGTAATAATTAAAGAAGCTGAAGTTGAAGCTCCTAAAGTGAGCTGTGACAAGTGACTGAAAGAATTTAACATATTAACCGACGAGTATAGTCATGAGACTCGAAACACGTATGTGTAGACACACGTAAGTGCCAACATTTATAATTAATTTCGTAGGCGCATAAATCTTGTATAAAATCATTGTGACGCCATTAGAGAATTTATTTCGCCTCGCTGCGAGTGATTCGGTGAGTGTGTAAGTGCCTCGTGCCCCGTAATTACCAAGCTACGAGTGCTCGGTGTACTTAGAGTAAAAATAATCGAATGGAGGCAGGAGGGAAAGTATCTGTAATGATGGAATTTTTATATGTAAAGAATTGCATCGGTTATCGATTGGAAAGGATCTTCGCCGGACATTGAGTACCATGAATCCTTATGAAATTCAAGTTAAATCAATTATAATAGAGTATATTAGTATATAGGCTTTGTAATGATAATTAGTTTGATAATAAATAGGGCAATTTTGCGTGACATTAAATTTGCTAAAATTTCATTCACTTATGCTCGAATAAACAAATACACTTACGAGCTCGCTATCGAACGTTCTTCATACATTCACAGCCTCATTATAACTATACTCTACCCTATAATTATTACACGGTAGTATAGTAAAATGATTATCTAAGTACCAATTACGATAATAACTGTCATTAAATATTAGTGCGGCGTATTGCGAATAAAGCAATCGAGTAGCAGCACACCGTAATAAACATTTCGTATAATAATTGAAATTTGTAGTTTTTTTTTTTTGTATTTTTTTGTATTTTGTTTTCTTTTGTTTTCGTTTTTGTTTTGTATTTCTCGCATAAGCTTGTCGATATAATATAGCGCGCGCGAGCAAATGTTAAATCATTAATGATTTCATATTGGTTGAACGACTCTGAAAATGGGCTCGATATCAGTTTTATAAACAACCTCTATTGGCAATAGGCCAACAGATAAGTTAATCTCTCATCTCTTTGCCGTGGAATTTTAGAATCGTACAGCTGCAGAATTATCTTTTACAAAATTTTCCCGTAGTCCAGAAATTAGTTGCTAAATAACCAGGCTATTTATATATATATATATATATATATATATATATATATATCGCATATCTCTAAAAATTATAACAAATATGCTTGTGCCTTCGCTCCTCCTAATAAAAAATACTGTTGGTAATGTCACGCGATATAGAGGCTGACCAATGCAATTGTATCAATGTTTATCGATTGATTATGTTTATTTTTTCTTCATCTTTTTTTTTTTCTTTTTTCGCGCCTATTGATTTGTCCACTCGACGTTCGCCAATCGAACTCGATTACTCGACTCTATTCAACGCAACGACCAATTCTAACCAACGCAAACCATAATTAGAACATTCGCATCCTCGGCAAACGTAATAGCGAGACAATAGTAATTGACCAATGCCAAGTGGCTAGTTACTCGAATCTGCATCCCCGCACGCACTCGATTCAAGCCAGTCGATTGTCGAAGCATGGGCGGCGGTCTTAAAATAAAGGTCGGCGAGATATGCGCTCCTTGACAACTTGACAGTACGTAGCGCCAAATCAATGTCATCAATAATTCAGAAATAAGTGCCCGCCTATTCTATAAACCGTGTCGGTAATCAGATCTAAGGCGCCGGATCATCGCGTCGATATTCGCGACGGCGAACGACGCCTCGTCCTCTCGACCGACCTGACACCCCCTACAAAACACTCGAACCCCACTCGCCCATCCCCTGCACAAGAAAGCCATGAGCTTTATTGCTTTTACGGCACGAGTCCGCGTATCCGCGTACGTGTGGAAAGAAAGCGGAGCCGAGATGTCGCGACGACTTTCGTGACGCAACTTGACCTTCGTCCCTGCGTATAGACAGACCACTGGGCTACGATTATGATACGATGTCAGTGCGGGCAACTTTGAGCTTCCAAGCACCCGCCGCTAATGTCCCCTACCTCTGTTCGTTTCCTTTTTCTTTTCTTTTTTCTCTTCTTCTTTTTTTTTTTATCCATACACGCTCCACGCTCCACAGCGGGCACGACATCTATGGTTCCTTGACTTTCTTCGGGCCATCTTTAGCATACACCACGCGCCACGAAAATAACGAATATGATGATAATAATGGATAATAAAGCTCCAGAGGATGTCATAAGCAAGGATTGGATAGGTGACATTGTTTGCGATGGCTCATTAAAGGACACAAATAGTTCCAAGTTTCAATGTCGTTTATTCAGTCCGTTTTCGTTCGTATACAGACATTATAATAGCATACAAAAAAAAAGAAACATAATAAAAAAAAATACATATATATATATATATATATATATATATATGTATAAACGTGACAAAAACGTAGTGAGAAAGCCTTGAGCGTATTTTCTTGTACGTATACGTAATGAAGCACGCGTAGGTGCGAGTAATGAGAAAGTTGGAGAAGGGGCAAAGGAAGTCAGTCTTAAGCTGGGCTGAGAGATTAGTTAGAAGATTGTAATGAGAAGGAGGAGGAAGAGGGAGGTAGGGGAGTGTGTATTGCCGATCGCTCGGAGCGGCTTCGTGGAAGAGGTTGGGTGAACCGGGTGCGTCACCAATGGCGATGCAACGGCTCGTAGTGCGTCCTTACGGCGACGGGGACCGGGTAGGGTTTGGGCACGTGGACGGGGATAGCGACGTGAACCGGGTAGGGCCTGTCGACGCGGACGAGCTTCTCCACGGGGTAGGCCACGGGGTAGGGCTTCGGAATGTGGACCTCAACGGGGACGGGCCTGTCGACCGGGACGGGCACGTGAATCGGCCGATCGACGGGGACAGGTCTATCGACGGGCACTGGCACGTGCACCGGTCTGTCGACGTGGACGAGCCTCTCCACGGGATACGGGCGGGGCACGAGCACCGGGACTTGCACGTGCTTCGTCACCTGGTGGACGAGCGGGATTCCCGCGGGAACGGCCGAGGCTAATGCCACTTGAGCTGCTGCTGGCCCAACTGTAATCAATTTGAACAATTTATTTATTTTCGTGGAGGGTAGTTGGCATTGCTCGTCGTCGCGTTTCCACGAGGAATCGGAGTATCGCGATTAGGTAAAAAAAAAAAATAAGTCGAAAAACAATTCTCGAAATTTAAGCGTCCCTAGCAATTTTATCCTACGAGTATATTAATATTGTCGATACTCACGAACGAGGATTTGAAATTAGCGTTGAAACATTTATTCTTGAATCGAAGATTAAACAAATTTACGTGCCTATTATTTATTTGAGCCGCCACCGCCACACCCCCATCCTTCCCACAACATCGTGTCGTTCATTACATTGGTTATATGAAAATTGTTTATTTTCAAAGGAGAAAGAAAAAAAAAAAGAAAGAAAGAAGAACAAGGAAGATAATTAGGCCCTTCGAGAGGGTTCGACGTTGTTGCTCGACAAAGCTCGACAAATCGTTTGTTTTATCCGATGACAAATCGTAATGGGGAGATGACATTTTTATGGGAAAAATACGTTGTTAGAAGTATGGAAAGAGGGAGAGCTCACCGACGGATTGTGGAAAGAGTACGGGGCCAACGGGGGCCGGGGCGACCTCCGGCTGCTCAACGACTGGCGGTGGTATCGGTGGCAATGGTTGGGGATGCTGGGCGAACTCCGGATCCACGGGGACGGGCAGCTGGGGCGAGGGGGGTCCGTAAATGTTGTGGGGCCCGGGCTCGGGCAGCCCATAGCCAAGGTTGTACTGTCGTCTCGCTATTTTGCTTTTCCGACTCGGTGACGTCGACTTGCCCTCCTCCTTCGGCTCGGCGACCAAATCCTCCGCCAACAAGAGCAAACACAGCGAGAGACCGGGTATCTGGAAAATGCGCGAACGGCTGTGTTGAGCTCGGGGATGCCGTTATCTCGCGGATGATGCGATTATAAATTAAGGGCCGAACACTTTATTGGAGGATAATATTCAGTTATGAATGTTATGGGAATTTCGTTTATTGTTGTTGTTGTTGTTGTTGTTGTTGTTTTTGTTGTTTTTATGCTCGAATCGTTTAATGGGAGGACTAGGTCCTTAAATAGACAAATGATAAGCGTTTGGATGATAATAACGAGGTCGTCTAAGACCCGAGAATGAGATGCGTGTTGCGATGAGTTTTGGTGATGGTCGGGCTGAAGAGTCGAAAGAAGTGAGAAGGACTGAATTATAAGCACTGAGGGCACTGCGTAGCGGAGCCACGTGAATGAAATGAAGCGCGCTCGAGGCGTCACGAGCCAAGAGCTTCAAGTGTCGAAAGTGTCATCGGAAGAACTACCAGTGAAAGCTTCATGGTGTGCGCCAGTCGATGCACTTGTACTGCGACGCTCGAGCTCGAGCAAAAAAACTACGATTGTACAATGCGGTGCTACCAATGCGTATTTATAGCGAACGCCGATGATGCTTTTGACGAGGAGGCCCCCAACGGATTCGTTATTATGCGTAAACGCTCATTAACCATTCCCCGATGGACTTTCGCTCTCTCTCTCTCTCTCTCTCTCTCTCTCTCTCTCTCTCTCTCTCTCTCTCTCTCTCTCTATCTATCTCTGAGGCGATACTGGCTCATGGCCAAGGCTCTTTTCTTCTTTCTCCCCATCTCGGGCATTAGATACTTATTGCCAAACTCTCGAATGTTAATTGATTTTCTTTTCGCATTTTAAGTCCAACTACATTGGAAAAACACTACAAGGCCATTGATCGTCGGGTGCCGAGTGCAAAGTGTATTTAGACGTAAAAGTGATGGGTATCTCGAACGACTCAAGTTTTTTCGACGATTAGTGCAGCATAAATTGCGGCCCGGATGAGCTCGCGTCCCAATAAAATTCAATGCCCAAGGATCTTCCGTGTAATAATATTCCTCTGACATTTGCATAGACAAAACGATACAAGCGCTGGAATATTCACTATGAGACCTCAGCCACGTGTTTTACATTTTATTTCCTTACCTAACGAGTTTCACTACTCTCTTGTAATTTTGACATTTGTTATGTAGAAAATTCAAGTTTTCAACATTCTGCTAAGAATAATGTTTGTCCTATCGTTACGTAGCCGAGATCAAAACATGTTCGCGAATATTAAGTGTTTTCCTAATTATTAGGATTTTTCATTAAATTTTCTAATTTTCTGATTATTTTTTTTTTTTTTTTTTTTTTTTTTTTTTTTGCTTCTTTTATTCAATTCATTGCTTGTCCTCCTAAAACTTGATCATTGTCATCTTACTGATAAAAAAACAATTGTAATAAATTACTTTACGTATGTATATACGTAATAAATATATCGTTATTTTTTTTTATTTTTTTTTTGTAGCATAAATCGATCGATATTTCTATTATTTTATTAATTAACATTTAAGCATGGGTGAAGTTATTGAATAAATCTCGGTTCGTTATATTAAAAAATATCTTTCACGAAAGCTTTAATATGCAAAAACATTGCCACACAGGTCGCATAGAAAAGCCAATTATTAATGAGGTGTAATAATAAAAGAAGAGAGTGAAATCGATATGCCGTGGTTATTTTAGTAAGTGTACCAATATAAACATACGAATAGAAAAGTAGGTATAGAGGTATTGTGTAGGCCTATCAAGCGACAATTGCCAGTGATGAATAATAAATTGCAAGTATGTGTGGCACTTTAGGAGTATGTAGCTTGGCTTTAGAAAATGAAAGTCGTCGGAGAAAAACTGCCGACTCAGTCACTGAAAGTACAAGAAAGGATGTGTTATGAATAGACGACACTCGCACACTAATGTAGTATTTACTCTGTTTTTTGTTGTTTGTTTATTAATTCTCTACTATTCATATATATTGTATACGTAACAATTTATTATTATTTTATTGCGCTTTAACTGCATTTCTAAAATAATTTAAATCATTCTTTATAAACAGTGTTAACGAGTCATTGCTATATACATATCGATTTCTAACACTAATGTCTCTCTATTATTTATAATATACGCTATAGCATAAGAATTATTAAATTTTATAATAAAAATAAAAGAACAATTATTTGACAGTCGATTGCTTTTGAGAAAAATTTTATAAACAACATCGTATGATTTTTCTATCTAAAGCTACTTAAATGCAGTTTCTAATTCATTGCAAACCCACCATCGAATTATTTCGTTAATAATAAAATTAAAAAATTTCTATAAATTTTATCGATAAATCGTTAGTTATCGTTGTATAAGTATCATTTTAAAAGTTTAAAAAAAAAAAAAAAAGAAGAGAAAACAACGTAATCCCAACAAATTCTAGAATACTCGAACGACATAATCGAAAGCATAATCAAAAGTATAATCGAAAGCGATCGACAAATGAAATTTTTAAAGCAACTTTTTCTGCCGTCTCCGTTTCACCGGAAGTTCTTCGCTACGACTGTGGAATAATTAATTTTAACTACTTATAGATTCTGTGAATTGTCTTTGGGACATTTTTTTCCAAGAGACAATTATCGTAAGTGCAGTAATACTAATACATACGAGTACCGAAAGAAAACCTTCTCTTCTCACAATTCAATAAACAACGGTTATTTATTTATCATACGTGGCTTCGGTAATTAAATGCTTTAATAAAGCAATTATAAATAAAAACTATTATATATATATATATATATATATATATATATATATATATATATATGGGTGTATGTATACGCATGAACTTACACGTTTCTTATTTTGCGCAAGTACATTTATTTATTAAGAGTTATCGTATTTATTTATTATTTTACATGATTTTCAAACTTTCTACAAGATCAAGTTTTAAAAGAGCATTGTTTTATGAAAGACAGCTCCTGTCACTTTCGTGTACTAAAATTGATTCTAAAGACACGAGTTGCATTAGTTGAACACTTATCCAACTCCAAATTGATACATACTTGAAGTTTTTATTAAAAAAATTTTTATCTCTCAATTTTAATATCTTTATGGCTGTAAAATTCATTGAACTACGCGTACATATTAATAAATAAATTATTTTTATATTCTTCAATCGCGGCCTTTTTGTGTATTGAAAATCTCCAAGCTATTGACTTTTTAAAAGTTTCAAACCTATATAATTCGACTATTTATTTATTTATATATTACATTAATATATTAATATTTACTATTGTTCATAATATATTGTAGCTTCACTATGGATATGTATTTAATTAATCTTAAATATACTTGTTTTATTGTATAATTAACATATACTACTAATGTATGGTATAAAACTAGTTTAACTTACATGTTATAGTTTTCTTAGCGATTCAAGTAATTAAAGCTTAATTATAATTCCTTTCAGGTATTTAAAATTTACTGAAATAACTGGAAAAGGCTGTTCTTTTCATTTCTTTTAAAATTAGTCTGAATAAATAAATTCGTATCTTCTTTGTATGCAATATGTTTGATTTTATATACTTTTTTAGAATTTTAAAGAAACCGAGAGTTAAATTATTAACAATTGATAATAGTAAGAATAAAACATATTTGTAATAAATGTTGTAATAATGGCATTCAAGCTGTTAAAAATTGTACTTATCCTACTCATAACGTAGGAATTTTATTTAAATTATTATCAATAATAATCGAAAATTGAAGTGGATTAGTTAATTTACAATTTTTACCTTTTTATAATTATTTGTGGTGAGCGTTCACGTAATTGTTAATCGTCATCGTCATCGTCATCAACATCATAATTATAATTATAATTATTGACTATTTCAATTTTGTAATTGTCAATGTTATAAAATATATAGGTATTGGATAAATTACAATCGATTTCCATATGTCTAGAATATTATTTATCAGAGTATATACATTCAGCCGTATGTCTCTATCTATCTATCTATCTATCTATCTATCTACCTATGTGTGTGCGTGTGCGCGCTTGTGTACGAGCTATCGTTAAATAGCCGTATTTTGCAATTTCCATTTAATAAATTTATCGTGTGTAATGGAATCAAAGACCCAGACCTATAGATAATCAATCTTAATGACAGTCTGATAAAAATCTTTGTAACAATAGGTAATATGGACAGGGCGAGCTCGTCGATCATCTCTAGCCCCTCGTGACTCGATATACCTACGAATTCATGCTGTTTCGCATCTCTCGCACCCCTAGTCCGCGACGACAAAGACAATAATCACGAGGGAGCAAATGAGATATTCAGTGCCCGACAGTTGAGTAACAACGTGTGCACATAACCGTGGCTCCGAGCTAAAAAATCAAGCTAGGAAGCGGAACGTATCGGTGCCCCGTCGAAAAAGGGAGTAGTTGTTCGGTACGGTAGCCGACTGACTTCCGCGTGGCTCCTCGCAACCGGTTCCCCTTTCTTAGGTCGCCGTCTTACGCGCCCGTCGATCCGGTCCCTCCTGTCGATCACCGTCTGCCTCTTCCTCATCCCGCCCGGAAATCAATCGATGATCACGACGACGACAACAACAACAACAACAACAACAACGACGACGACGACCACGACCACGACGACCACGACGACCACGACGACGAGGACGGGATAGGCCCGGGACCGACGCTATCCCGCCGATCGGTTCTATAAAAGCGGCCTTTGGACTACGAGAGTACGAGAGAGTACCGATATCGCGAGACGCACGCACATCATGATTAGCAAATTGGTGAGTCGAGATCTTATCCGGAGTTCGTGATCAAGAGCCGAAACTTTATTTCGAAGGGACGATTAGTTAGTCGTGAGATATCTCGAGTGCCGATACCGTGACAAATGAAGAAAGCTATAGGATTTGTTGCCTTACTAGTCCATCCAATATCCAATTCCTTCATTAATCGTGTATCGAGGATCGATTCAACGATACCCTTTCTGCTACCTCTACAGCATCACATCTTCTTCGTTTCTTTTTCTTTCTTCTTTATTTTAGTTTTTTAATTTGCCGGTCGCATCTCGAGTGAACTCGCAACTAAAAATCGGCAAGCTTAATTAATATAAACGAGAGTGCGAGGAGCTCTCGGATGCGGATTATCCTCGCCGAGACGCTCACGACGTGATTAACTCCTATCGCCACATTAATTGACAATCTCAGATTTTAAGCGAACGAATGGTACTTTCAGCTGTTTTTGGGTCTGGTATGCAGCCATGCCTTCGCCGAAGAGGTCGAAACGTCGAATCAAAAGAAAAGAGATATCCTAAACGACGGATGGATCGGCCTTTCCAGCCCTTCTACTATCTACGGGCATGGGCAACCTTGGTCCAGCGATACAAACCCATGGAGAGGTCTTAAAATCTCCTCGGACTCGTCACACCTCGACACATCCGGGTAAGAGAATCGCGAACCGTCGGCTCTTATCCTCGGGAATTCACGCATCATATATCTCATAAGACTCTGCGCTTCTAACTTCCTACTAGATTAGTAGGTGAGAACGCCGGATTTCACGAAGGTTAAAAGCATTAAAGCCCATGGCAAATTAAGACTTTTCGATAAAACACACGGGAATATTATCTAATTAAATAAAAACAAATATATATATATATATATATATATATATATATATATATATATGTGTGTATATATAAGCATACCACTTGAAGGAAGTATAAAGTATTATGGGACACGTCGTCGATAAGTTTGTAAGAGAAAAGAAAAATTTTTGCTACGTTACAATGATGTAATATTTCAACTAAAGAGGACTTTTAGCGCGTCTAAATATAGTTGATAACAGCACAGATAAATGGCCGTTAATCGATATGTTTCCTTTAAAACTTGGTTAAATTATTTATCTCAATTGATTAGTTCTTTACGTCGTATGTTAAAAAACACTAATCGTCGGCCTACGATTAAGTTAAGCAACGAGGGGGCGCAAAATTAATCGAGCATTCTTTATTAAAATTATTGGTTCGCAAGGAAATTTGAGAGCCAATCTCGGAAATTCTCGGGCCCTCGTCGGCCTTATCGAGCCAATATTACATACTGATGAAAGAAAGATCGGTTGATCAGTGAGGAATTCTTGCGAATCGTAAATTATTGGTTCGCAAGGAAATTTGAGAGCCAATCTCGGAAATTCTCGGGCCCTCGTCGGCCTTATCGAGCCAATATTACATACTCCGAGCTCTAGTGGAGGATGTATTTGGTTAAATGTACGAAACGTCGCGAGGTCGTTGCGCAATGTTACCGTGCATTACCGAGAGAAAGATCGGTTGATCAGTGAGGAATTCTTGCGAATCGTAGATGGCAATATGGCTCGTCCTCGCGGCCAATCGCTCACTGGCCCTCGAAGACGGAGACGCATCACGTGAAGACGGTCCCCGTCATCGTCACCAAACACGTCGTCGTGGAGAAGCCGGTGGCCGTCCGGGTGCCCGAGCCCGTACTCGTCGAGCGGCCCATTCACGTGCCCGTCGAGAAAGTCATCCCCGTGCCCATCGAGAAGATCATCCACAAGCCAGTGCCCATCGCTGTACCCTACCCGCACGTAAGTCCCATTTACCCGAACGATTGCTGGCGGGGGTGAAGAGAAATATACACGCGAGACCCAATCGCAATTGGATTAAATTTGACGAGAGTATGGCCGATCTCGGTTCTTTGCTCACTCGACGTGGACAAACAAATTGGGCATTATTAAATCGTCATTGGCTAGGAAGATTCAAAATACGAAAATTCAAAATACGACGAACGCTGCAAGTGGAATTATTCATATTTTTCATACAAATTGGTCACATCGACTTCGTGCCAAGTCCACTGGCTAACAATCGACGTATTTTTGTGCGGTAAAAAAAAAAACAAAAAAAAACAACAAAAAAAAACAATTGAATCCTCCGTTATTCGTTAACGATTTGATCCTACGCTCGTTCAATCGGATCTAGCGTGTTTGCAATGTAAGGAATTCTCGAATGAACAGAACGAGCTTTCCCGACTAATGAGATAAAATTTAAATTGACGCGATGTCTTCCCGCGAAGGCTTTTCATCGTAACAGTTGTAGCCAATCACTTCCGGAATTCCAAAGTGGAAAGTCGTTGTGGTAAATTCGTGGCTTCCTACACAGAGACAACGAAAGCCGGGCAAAACGTAACGAATCTATCGGCCCAACGAAAAAGTAAAAGCAGATTTTCCATTCGCGTTCGCGAGCTCTCTGAATTAATCAAGGCAAAAACGGGTTTTGCCTGTGTGTGGACCATAACGCTCCAATTATATAAAAACTCGTTCCAATTGGATCGGCTCGCGCGACAATTATTTCATCTACTACAATTATAAACCAGAATTATGCGCGATATTCATTATTAATGAATAAAGGAATGAGAAATATGGAAGAATAATTTTCGATTAAACTTGCCCTACATCATATAGACGTCTTACGTTGATTAAGCATCGAGCGAATTTCATTATTTCAATATCATTTTGTATTTTTTTTTTTCTATTTTTGTTTTTGTTTTTGTTTTACAAGCACTTTTCACAATGTTTCCTTGCTTAAGAAATTAATAAACAACTATGAATGAGTAACTCGATTGCGCGCCGATTGCGCCGAAAAGGTCAAGAAGCTCGAGAGGCAATGTACAAGGAAACGAAACAGCCGACGGAGCTTTTTCCTTTGGGTGTTCGGCCACCATTGCACAATAAGCACAGGCATCCTTATCAATGTATCTTGTTAATGCTCTCGAGACGTTGCAGGCAGTTCCGGTGACGATCGAGCACACGGTACCTATTCCCATTAAGCACCCGGTCGCGGTGCCAATCCATCATCCATTCCCGGTGCCGATAAAGCACCCGGTCCCGTTCCCAGTGGCTGTCCCGGTGCCGCTCCACCTGGGCCACGGCCACGGACACGGCCATCATCACTATCCACCAGGTCTGTCAAGCTCAACACGACTACGGACTCTCTTTCGGCTTGGGCTACGGCTCGGGGCCTTATCAACATGGGGCCTTGGGTGGATCCCACGGCTATCCTCACGGCTACGGGGGCTCCTCGCACGGCTACTCATCCCATGGCTATCCCGGCTACTACGGGCCGGAGCACGGCTACGGGCCTCACTACGGGCCTCACTACGGGGCCAACTACGCAGCTAACTACGGCTCCAATTACGGGTCCAATTACGGGTCTAATTACGGGTCCAATTACGGGGCCAACTACGGAGGTCCGGAGCACTATCACACGAGCCGCAGTGCCGACTACAAGGGCAAGCGGAATAAGAGCGGCAGAACGGCTCGAGGAGAAGAGGAGAGGAAATGAGGACCGAAGCTTCTTCAAAATCGACCTCACCACGACGACGCAGTCACGCGAACGACGTAGCCCACCCGACCGCCCGTTGACTGTTTTGTTTACTCTTCTGCGTGGCAGTCGCTGCGGGGTTATCGACGACTCGGCCCTCCGATGCCATCGCACCGCTACAAGAACAAAGAAGCCTTCCATTCTATATACGCTTATATCTCATTGATGACTCGTCTCCTGCGTTCAATAAATATTGTTTGTTGTATAATTCGTTCTCGTTTCTTTCCTCATTCCGCAGATCCTTACGTTGACAAATCTCAACTGTCCGCAGACTTGCTTTTTAATGTGTCGCAGCATAGCTTTGCAACATTTTCATGAGCAAAGTTACGTTGCCACGACTCTTAAGCCCATTATAATACATAGGAAACTTAAATAGATTAAAATCTATAAAAATCACAGGATCGTTGTGATGACTAAAAACAAAAAAAAAACAAAAAAAAACAACCAAATTTATTATTGGCCTTGAAAATATTATACTTATTAAAGTAGTAAATTACTCGATACAAGGAAAATTTATTGCAAATAAATCCAAATATAATGTAAACTCTTAAATTCAGAATATGTTTATGCATTTTTTATTGTACGCGTCGCGAATGTGTCTGTCTGATGTGCGTTAAGTAGAAAAATATTTAAATAAATATTTAAATAATATATATATATAAACACGACAGATCGGAAGTTCGTTCGAAATTGTAGAATCAAAGTATTTACGAAACACAAACTTAATACGCATTGATGAGTAGATATATCAATTATAATTAATATGTATATGTATTATAGACTCGCTAGATATCAAATTGGAGTTGGAACATGAATTAATTTAGTATTCAATAACATCATAGTAAGTTTAATTGAGAAAGCTTGCTGTTTCACTTGCACTTTTTTCTTTTTTATCGCTTGCCTAATAAGCACATATTGATATTAAATTTATCATTTACCATCGTATTAGAAATGTTACGCATATGAGTATTTAACATACCAAGTAGCCCGAATTCGGATGTTATTCTCAATTTTATCCCAAAAATGTCGATGCGTTGCTCAAGGCTCACGACTTGTAAGAATTTCAATGCGAGTGTGGCATCGACATTAATGACAGCTAATATAATGTATAATACTTGTTTAATGAAGCCTGCGCGTAAACAAACTCTCGTATCGTAAGAAAGATTCCACCAATTTAAACAATAGAGAGAGAAAAACTTATCACGTATCGACGAAACGACGGGGTTGATGCATAGTCAAGATTATTCAACTCGAGCGTCTTCTACTCAAAAGACTCGGTGAGCTGTTCATGGCGAATTGGCGTGTAACATCTCTAACATCATCGTTTCATAATGGTTTTTCATTATAAAATTAATCAAACGAATACATAGAAGATGACAGATTGGAATACGGGAATGAGAATATCCGAACTACGGCTTTGGAGAAGATTCGACGTGAAAAAGCAATCATTTAGCCAGTGATTCTACGCCCCAATGTAATGGATTCCGCCTATATATATATATATATATATATATATATATATATATATATATATATATATTTAT